TTTACAAAACTGCAACTCTTCAAGTTCATTGAAGTGACAAAGAATGTCGTCAATTCATTTGTAGAAAGTTTAAGGAAATGGTATTAATGTCTATTTGTTTCTCTGAACATGGTTACAGTAGCAAATTTTAAGACTCTTTCTTGTCTCAAATTTGTTTCTTTGAGCAAAATTCTAAAGATGTTTTGCATATTTAGATTATTCATCACAAGTGTAGGTCAAATGAATGTATTCGGAAACTTCCTTTTGTAATCTAATCAGATAATTCCAACACAAATGAAACGCACTCTTGAAGATGGATCTTCTGCTGAAAATCCAGTATTTGATGATATCATTGTTGATCCTGTTGCACGAGGTTTCATTAGAGACTGGGATGCCATTGAAGACTTGTTGCACCATGTTTTGTACAATGGCCTTGGTTGGGAAGTAGGCAATGAAGGTCAGATATTATTCACAGATCCACTGTGTACCCCCAAGGTTGGCCAAACCGATCTTCTTTCTTATTTATATTGATTTTTCATTTTGTAAAAACAATGCTAGTCTATTTCTTCTTTGTCTGAGTTGGCATGGTTTGGGTTTTCATTGCATATATTATATTGAATGGTTAACATTTTCTCAATTGAAATCTTATTGTTTAAACTGCATTTGGGAGTCCTCAATTATAAATGTCCACTGACAGGAAGAGACTTAGAAATGTTCACTAATGTTTACTGGGTAGGATCAGCCACTAACAGGAGATCAACCTCAGGATATTGCTCATATATATGGGGTAACTTAGTGACATGGCAGAGTAAGAAATAACCTGTGGTGGCTCGAAGTAGTATTGAGGCAGAATTCAGGGCAATGACATTAGGAATTTGTGGAGTATGACTCTCACATGTGCTGAAGGAATTACAAGTTGAGAATATCACTCCCATAAAGTTTATGTGTGACAATCTCTATAATAAGCATAGCAAAAAGTTCAGTTCACCATAATCGGACAAAACATCGAGATAGACTGACATTTTTATAAGAGAAAAGAAGAGCAAGGAACAATTTGGATGGTACATGTTTCTTCGAAACAACAAGAAGCTAACATACTCACTAACGCTCTGCCGGGAAAGAACTTTGAAGACTTGAGTTCCAAGCATGACTTGAGTAACATCTATGCCTAGCTTGAGAGGGAGTGTAGAAATATTAAAGGAAAATTTAGGAGGAAAATAAGAAGGAAAATTATGATTTGATGTGAGAAGACATAGGAGAAAAAATAGGTAATAAGCATTGCAAAAAGTCTAGTTCACTATAATTGAACTCAACATATCGAGATAAACTGACATTTTATAAAAGAAAAGAAGAGCAAGGAACAAGTCGGGTGGTACATTTTTCTTCCAAACAACAAGAAGCTAACATACTCATTAATGCTCTGCCGAGAAAGAACTTTGAAGACTTGAGTTCCAAGCTTGGCTTGAGTAACATCTATGCCTAAATTGAGAGGGAGTGTAAAAATATTAAGGGAAAATTTAGGAGAAAAATAAGAAGGAAAATTATGATCTGATGTGAGAAGACATAAGAGAAAAAATAAGTAATAAGCATTCCAAAAAGTCTAGTTCACTATGATCAGACTCAACATATCGAGAGAAACTGACATTTTATAAGAGAAAAGAAGAGCAAGGAACAAGTCGAGTGGTACATTTTTCTTCCAATCAACAAGAAGTTAACATACTCACTAACGCTTTGCCGAGAAAGAACTTTGAAGACTTGAGTTGGAAGCTTGGGATGATTAACATCTATGCGTAGTTTGAGAGGGAGTGTAGAATATTAAGGAAAAATTTACGAGGAAATAAGAAGGAAAATTATGATATGATGTGAGAAGACATAGGAGAAAAAATGGGAAGAAAAATATATGCTAAGGGAAACTTTTATTTATCATTTAGAGTATATTTTTCAGATTTTGGGGATATTAGGTTGGTATTCTGCTTTATAAACAG